TAAGTGGATAAATCTGGTCACTTATGAAAAGATCTACGCCGAAATGTGAAAGACTTTACAATTTTTCCTATGTTTCCCTTTCTCTCTACAATTATTTGTCAGATTGCAAAATTTACGGAGAATATCCGAATTTGATTTAAATTAGTCACTCTAAAGAAACTCAAATCTTTTGGTTCTTTTGATTAGGAGTAGTAGAACAACAAACAATTTCCCACAGACGAAAAAATTGTAATTGTAAGACCTTTTTTTTGAATTTTATCCAGTTTTTTGATATTATTTGTTTCTGGCATTTTTTTGACAGACATCATGCTTTAGATGTGAAAAAGACTGCTTGTATATCAGGGCAAAGCCCTGAATGTTCCGACTGTCGCTTATTTCATATCGAATAGTTTTTGGGAACAAAAAATTATGAAAGTCCATGAAAATTTTGGACAATAATGAAGTGTGAAACTTTGAGCCGTATGAAATTATTACGACCGATTAGCTAGCCTCAATTCAATGAAGAGCGATTTTGTTGTGCGGGATTATTCACCATGCATAAATAACTCGCGTTACTCTTGCTCTCAGCATTGTGAATAAACTCTTCAAAGCGCGCTTAATTCAGACCAGAACATGGCCAAGTTGGCAATTTCATATCCCCAGAATTTTACAAAAAATGATCGGAGGTAAAAACATCTTTTTAAGTTTGAGCTCAAGAAGTCAATATCTTCAATGGAGTATAAAAAAAAATTTATTGAAAACTATTATTTCGATCGGCGAAAATTGTTTTAACAAAACACCACACGGAACATGAATATTCTGTTTTCTTTGAAAAAAAGTAGAAAAAAATGCTGCTATATAAATTGAATTTCCGCGTAAACGTATATGTAATTTACTGCTCCCGGCTGAACAGCAGTGTTACGTGGTAGTTCATCAATTGCTACTTGCCCGGGTTGACCAAAAACTTCTTATCATACAATTCAATACATTTCCATACGTACAAAGTATTGTATGAAATCTCTATGATAAGCATTGTTCCATTTATGAAAATTGTATGACAAGTATTTTTCCATGAACCAAAAATTTGTTTTTTTTCTAAATTTAATATCTGAAAAATTTTGGGTTGTGTTCGTGACCGAACGCAAGTGACAAAGACCTTGGCTTGTTCAAAGCACCAAAGATTGGACATTCTTGCAACTGCAATGAATAGAAACGACCTGAATTGTTTCAGAGCTGTTTTTCACAAATGATATAACGAATGTAACAAACTTTTTAATTTTTGGCAAAAATTTTCAACGATAATTATTTTCAAAATTTGAGTTTTAAATTTATCAGACAATAATCAAGGCATGCATAGACATGCCAAACAAAACAAATAAATTTCCAGCGTTTTTCAAAAAATATAATCAGCAAAAAGCAGAAACAAATCCACATTAGTGTATCCAGGACAACGTCCTACATACATAAAATAAAATTTTGCATTGAAAAATTTAGAGGCAATTTCAAAATCACTCGAAGTTTTCCAAAACTATTTGGAAAAACTTTTGAGTCGCCATCAAAAAAATGGTAGTCCTACATTTTCTCTATGTAAAAATTGTATGATAAGCATTTTTTCAAAAAACTAAAACCTCGGTTTTTCATCACCAGACTGTTTTTATTAGAATCAAAGAGCCGCAAAAGTTATTTTAAATATTTTTAAACTATTTTTCGAAATTTTACGATTATTGCATGATAAGCATTTTTCCATACACTTGATGAATGGAATTGTATGATAAGCCCATTTTTGGTGTATCGAGGTCAACCCGGGTGATACATACATATATATGAGTTTCAAATCGGTAGCTCAACGAGACTGTTAGTATCACGACTTAAAGTTAAATGTTCCAATTTCCAATCTCTTGATCAAAAAACTGTAACTAAAAAAGAATGTTTCACAAAATCGGGAAAAAATCGATTTTTTCAAAATTTTGATTATTTTGCCCCACTTGCTATTTTAAGCATAAGGTGATAAATTATACGTTTGATAACGCAATAAACAATCAAATTCTGTCTAAATTTTTTTTAGAATCATTCATTTTGTCGTTCACAACTTGATAGGACAAAATATAGTGCGCGTTATTAGTGCAAAACTGAAAAAATCGGGCGTTTCAGACTCTCGTAACATTTTAAAAAGCGGCCGATGAATACATTTTTTTTCAATTTTGAGCTCATTGGATTTAAAAAATGAGCTCATGGCATTAAGAAAAACTTGAAAAAAAGTGTTCCTGAAGAAAACCACCCCGAACACATATTCCAACAGTTGGAATAAAAAAAAATCCGTGATATACAAAAAAGTCTACTAAATTGAAGTTCAGCAGTTATCTCTGTTTGAATGCCTCAGAAAGTTTTACTGACTTCGGGGAGTCTCAATCAAAATTGAATTTGAATCATATCAATCAATAAAGATGCACGTAATATAGGAACTGACTGGTTATGGAATTGTAGAATTCACAAAGCTCTTTTTTTTGTTCGCCCTTTTTCGTAACTTTGTTTCCTAACTCTGAAGCCAACCTTGCAAGGCAAAATGTGTATTTTGTCAATTGTAAGCGGTTTCTGCAATCAGCCAAAAACAAAATAGTCCGCGAGTTGTAAGCGGAATTCGCCAATTGTAGGCAGAATTCGCATAAACTTGCGAATTAATATACATTTGCAGAATTTGCTTACATTTGCGGAATCCTGAACAAATAGCTACAATCCCTTGTTGCGGAATCCGCAACAAAATTTATGTGCCGACGAAACTTACGTTATAGGTGATGGAATTACGTTATAGTGATCTAAATGGAATCCCCTTACAATTTAAAACATGTTTAAAGACATGTCTCTTGAATCCAGGAACAAACAGACACCAAATTGTGCGCCTAATCAATGCGCAGTTTGGCCTCGTAATGAAGCTAAAAAAATATACAAATTTTTTTGATGTGTATTCATAATCTGAATTGCCATGGCACCATAGGATTCAGACGGCTCCCTTTGATCTGTTTGCCCTTTTTTTGTTGCAATTTTGCTTGCTAACTCTAAAACAAAGCTGAAAAAAAGTTAGACAGAAGGTTTTTTTAACGGGTTTTGATAATCAATCATACTAGCTCTTCCATTGCAAAATCGAAGAGTAGGTGAGAAAGAAACGTAAAATAAAAAAACAAAGTTGTTTGATTATGAGTGCAGTTTTGTCAAGATTTTGTTTTGGGCTGTCATTTGTGGAATGAAAGCCATTTAATTTTCAATATGAGCATATCAGTTGAATTTGTTCCTGTTCAAAAATTTTTTTTGGACAGATTAAAAGACTAGTCTGTCAACACGCGTTCGAAATGGTTGAATTATTCTTAGAAACTTCAATAATAAAATTTATATAAAATTTACTTATAATCATTTTTTCTCAAAAAAATTTACTGCTAGACGAAAAACATGTTCAACAAAACTTGCTTAGGAATTTGCTGAAATTAGTATGGACCTATTTGTTCTTCGAAAACCAAGGCCACAATCTCGGCGAGCAAATTTATTGGCTCAATTTTTGGCTCAATTTAGTTGTTAAAACAACCCTAAATTTTCATCATAAAATTGAATTCAAACTGAACGTCTTACTCACTCAGGCAAAAATAAAAAAGATTATAATGCAAAACGTTTTAAATCAATTTTCTAACAAAAAATAGGCCGTTATATCTGTAAGATTCGAAGAATTGCCCTCTAGGCGGTGTATGTCTCAATTTACTACGCCGCAGAAAATATCCGTTTGGCACGAAGTTTGGAGGGGCGTCGGAAACTTAACACTACTCACAATCCCGAAAAGTTTTGTTTGGTCGCAAGTTACTCTTAATTGTATTCATATAATTAACTATTTTGGTGATGCACTATATTTTTTCCTTGAGTCGCAACTATTTTGATCAACGTACGTCAATTCAACTAAATGTTCAAAAAAACTTAACATTTAGCGGATAATATAGTTTAACAATTTACTTAAAAGAACGGTTTCACGGTCGCTTTTGACAATTGCCACTAGCAGTTCGTTTCTTTTATTACTGTATTTTTCCTTAATTGCTATCTTGGATAGCTAAATTTTGTTTCTCACTATTTTCATCGAACTAACAGAGAACCAACTGACCACTTATAATCGTTCTCTTACTTTGAGAACCAACTAATAGACAGACTCATTTTCAATAATTGATCTGATTCTTGGAGACTCTCCGGTACATTCTTGTTCTTTTACTTCGTTTTCCCTTTTTTGTAAGTCTCGCATTTCCTGTCAATTCTGGCATCTGCTTATTTCACTCCTTCTCAAACGTTTTATAACTCGATCTGTCCCCCTGTCAACACTAATAATTGACAAGTGCCAAGATTCTTTTAACCAATTTTTTAGATACGGGTAAAGGTGAGGTAGGCGTCACTATGTTATGTTACTCAGTGAGCCTCCCAAGACCAAATTGCCTCCCAAGACTCAGTGATCTCCATACCAAATTGCACAAATAAAAACATTTTGCTTTTAGCAAAAGACTAATCTTATTTTGTCTGAATCATTTTTCGTCTAAATTCAACTGAACTGGTTTTGAAAGCACTAACAACATTGAGCAGCAGGAAAGTTTACCAAAACGTCCGGTGGCTCTCAGTCATTTCCGCACCCAAAAGAAGTCAGTTCCGGAAATGACTGCTTTTGAGGCGAAAATGACTAGGGCGGAAATGCCTGAATTTTACCGGGGGAGAATTGGATGGGCAAATATCGTTCCACTTCAGAACTTTGACTTCTTTACAACACCTAGCTTAGATTTATTTTTTGACTACCAATTATATTTTGACAAACCAACAGAGTCAACAGATAGTGAACAAAAAACCTGCCTAATAAGAGTTTTCCTAGACACAATCTTCCAAAAAAAAGTCATGAAAAACAGAACATAATGTACAAAAACAAAGTCATGCTTTTTGAGAACGCTACAGAGAAATTATTTAGCCCATCGCATAAACTTTAAAGCCTCTCAATAAACTTAGCAGTCGCAACGTTTCCAAAAGGTTTGAAGTTATAAAACCAATAAAAGATGTTGCTAAATTTCAGAGTTTGTTACCAGTAACAATGAATTCAGTGGAATGGGCAGAGCCCCTGATTATCCAGATGAAAAATCGGCAATTCCCGGTTGTCCAACTGAAGAAGATGAGGACCCTGACACCACTGGAACTCTATCAAGTGTGCCTCTCCATGGCTCTGAGCACATTCTCCAACACGGGCGAGATCAAAAACGTTACTCTTTCATGTGTTATACTGATGGCTAAGGAACATTTTTTGCAGATGGGCGCAATACCATCAGATCAACTCCCAGCTAGTAAGTCAACCCATTCTGAAAGCGCAAAAGATTTATCACTGGGTACATATGTTTCATTAAAAGATGGCGGTAAAAATTCCACTCTGGTCAATTCATTTAAAGGCCTTTCTTTATGTTTACTTCGACGCTTATAAGGTAACTTTTGATGAAAAAAAAACATTTGAAAAAAATTTTGAAAAAAAAAATTTCACCCGCTCTCAACAAACCACAAAAAAGAAACATTGACCAAAAAATGAAACATTTTGTGCTTATCAACGCAATATTTAGATCAATTAGCTATAGCCTCAATTCAATTTGGAATGATTTTTAAGCCTGAGTAGTTCATCGCCTTAGACGTTCGTTTAAGTGTTTGGGCATCGTGCATCTTTTTTCAACACTCACATCACACATGCATGTCTCTCAGCTGCTGCTTTCTCTGATGTTTGCTGTCTTGAATACATTTTCTTGCGCGTTTTCTACCACACTTTTGGGCTGATGTTCCTCGTCATGAACATAAGGTTCAGATCAGATGGCAAGTGGTTTTGACCACTGCCTGCCGCTTCCACAAATCGCCTCTATAATGAACTCCAATTTAGACATTGGTACTCTGGTTTCAAGGCTGCATCACTTTCAGTCGCCTTTTTTTCATGCTGCTCTCAATGGATATATCCATTGAGAGCAGCATGAAAAAAAGGCGACTGAAAGTGATGCAGCCTTGAAACCAGAGTACCAATGTCTAAATTGGAGTTCCTTATAGAGGCGATTTGTGGAGCGGTTTGAGCGGTTTTTTTAGACAATTACGCTCAAAATCTTGCTTCAAAATGAGCGATTTGAGCGGTTTTTGAGGGTTTTTTTAAGATAAACCGCTCAAAACCGTTCAAATCTTGCGCGGTTTTTGAGCGGTTTTTTTAGATAAACCGTTCAAAAACCGCTCAAACCGCTCATTTTGAAGCAAGATTTTGAGCGTAATTGTCTAAAAAAACCGCTCAAATCTTGCTTCAAATTAGGTGAAAAATCTCGACTCGGGTAAGCATATACAAGTATCAAAATTGTGTCGAATTTGCAAATATGCCCAAACATGTTTTATAGTCATTTAAACAGTCGATAACTTTATAGTGGTTTTCAAATTGACTGATTAAACAATTTCATCGGAAATGTTATATTTTGGCAGGTTGGGATGGAAAAGTTTGTGAGGAAGATACAGACGAATGCGACACCCACTCTCCTTGTGCCCGAGAGAACGCCACCCGAGACTGCGAAAACCTCCCAGGCAGTTACAACTGTCACTGCAAGTTCGGCTACACAGAACCACATTGTGACTCCGTGCTCGACTTCTGCGAAGAAGGACCCTGCAAGAACAACGCCTCTTGCGAATCCACTGACATTGTCGGGTTCAATTGCACATGCATTCCTGGATTCACAGGTAGATAAGATTTTTTGGTCTTTCCATAATCCCACGTCACACATAACGACATTGATACATTTAATTAGGCTACAACATTTGCATTATTTTAAGAGTTTCAACAAACTAATAAACATCAACCCTCGAAGAAATCACTTGAGGGGTGAGGATGGTAATTTGATACGAAGTAAAAGTTCTTTTGCCATGTGTAGGCGAGACATGCGAGACGAACATTGACGAGAGCGAGGGAAACGACTGTGTGTCGGGATCCACATGTGTAGACGGAACCAACCAGTACACATGTGACTGCATTGGCACAGGGTTCAGGGGTCAGTTCTGCGATGAGTCATGTGTCAACTCAAGTGCGTGCGAGAATTCTGCCAGTTGTCTTTTCAATCAAACTTCCGATGAGTTCTTCTGCGACTGCAGCTCAAATTTTCAAGGTGGGTACAATTTTTTTTCGAAGCTCGGGAAGGACAATATATTACGCGGTGTACACAAAAGCGCAACTTTCAATCTAAGCCCTCAATAAAAAGCTAGTAATTATCTTCAAGATAAGCTCTTTCCATGATTTTACAAGAAAAAAAATGAAACGGAAACATAGTGCCCATCAAATTACGTTTTACGTAGCCCAACAAATTTTAGGAAGGGTATATTCTCCAAAAAATTGACCAAATTGTTTAAAAATAGTTTTTAAAGAAAAACTGGCTTTTTATATAGTAAAAACTACCTTTTTTATCTATAAAACAAAACAAAATTTATACTATGTTTTGGAGAGTATACCTTTTTTTTTAAAGTATGTTGGGCTACGTAAGAGGCTCACTTTGATGTATTTATGTCAGTAATTGACCTGGTAGCTTTGGCGTAATATTCGATTGACTAAAAAAAGCCAAAAATGATCGATTTTTAGGGTAAAATTTTGGGCCCGAATTTATCAAAACAAATTGCATCATATTAATTCTGTTTAAACTCTCGGCAATTTTCGTCTTCATCAATTTGTAGCTCAAATCAACCCAATTTGACAAAAACGCGCTTTAAATTTCTAGTTTAATGCGTTTTGTCCGGATAACTTAAATCAGCACTGTATGTAATTGAGTAACAAACATTTAAGTGAAATAGATTTCAGCTGAAGTCAACACAAAAATTGTTAATTCTGAGACACCTGAAACGTGATATAGTCGACTTTCTTAAAAAGCGTGGTTTTTATTGTTTAGTGACTACCTGAAAACATTTTTGATAGTCTTGTAATATGATTTTACTTCTAGTTCAATTATGCTCGGAGCAACTTTCGGGTGGAGACAACGATGACGGCAAACTTCTAACGGCAGGAGCTGCTCTGCTTGCAATTCTAATTATAGTAGTAGTCGTAATAATAATCATTGTTGTAACAATAATAATCATTGTTGTATCCCTTTTGTATTCCTGGAAGGGAGCGGTTTTCCGTGAAGACTTGAACAGCTCAATTGTTGGTCCTTTCAATTGTGGTTAAATCGTTTTAATCTTAACAATTTTAGTTCCAATTCAAAACCCTATTGAGTAACTAAGCTTTTATCGCCACTTCTTTTGCAATTATATTACTGGAATATGGCCGACTGAGTGCTAAGGCAAGCAAGTTTTCAGGTCGAACATCAGCATGCTAACTTATTGCTTGATCTGATGTGAAAATCACGTTCCTGCAAAGAACCCGTCTTTAAAATTTTCGTTTTCATTAAAATTAATAGCCTTAGCCTCATGTTATTGTGAGAAAGTTCTGCTCTTTGTCAAACTATTTAAGAAACGCAAAAAATGTCCAAAATCATGAGACTAAACCCTCACAAAAAATATCTTTTATTAGCTTTATATATTAAGCGTTTATTTACTTTGAGCAGAACAATCAACCAAATTGCATTTCAAATAAAAAAACAACATTTTTTCAGTTTTTCTATTGACTAGCGTGATTTCATCGCAATTGATGTAATTATTACTTAATTGGGTTTGCTTATCTGGTTTTTTACTGACACATCGGTTCGCTGAACGCTACCCCAATTCAAAGTTCAACAATAGAGGCAAAACTAGCCCATTGTTCTATTAGTTTACCATTAGAATGCTACTAACAGTAAATTTTTTATCTTTTAATTTTTAAGCTATATAGTTTGTAAATTATTGGATCAAAAAATTTCGAAAAAAAGTTTCGAAGGTTGCTGAACAAAAATTCTTAAAAGGTTGAACACGTAAAACAGTATTATAAAACTCTTATCAGAAGTCTATAATCATATTGGAACAGAAGTTGAAAAATTATAATGTTTAGTCATTCAAAGCACTAATTTGTATAACTATTATTTCTGATTCAGTTTTTAAGAACATATCAAAACTTGCCCACATAAACTTTCTTGAAACATTTGGGAATAGTCCTGGAATTAACAACACGATTACTGGACATCAATTTGATGGGAATTGATAACAAAACCTCATGGCAAGGTCGGATAATAACATTGAACAAAGTTTCTCAATTACTTGACGGTGGCGTCCCTCTTGATAGAAGGAACGAATGTTGAAAAATCATTTTCAGTCATTTACAGCCAATCAGAATTATGTATTCAAAAATCTCAGAGAAACCTCCAAAATCTCACAACAAGCAAAAAATTCCAGGCCATGAAAGTTAATACTGACCGATTACAATGCTGATGTGAATCATCCGGACAGAACGAATTAAACAAAAAAACCTAAAATTGCGTTGTGTTAAGACAAAAAATGATGAAGACAAAACTTGCTGCAATTTATTTTGTAAAATTCGGGTCCAAAAAATAACCCCAAAAACGATCCTTTTCAGTTTTTTTTTGTTAAGCGAAATAATCGCCAAAATTATTGGTTCAATTACAGTCAAAATTCTATAAAAATGAGTCTCCAAGTAGCCTAACAAAATTTAAGGACTTATTCTTCAAAAGATTGGGATAAAAAATTTGAGCCATCTTTGCTTGTTGAACTGAAATTTTGTTTTCTTTGATCCATTTACATCAAAATATAGCAATTAAATTAAGCAAACGGAAAATGGGATGCAAGCCATTGTCAAAATTGAATAAAAAACTAACTCTCTAAATCATTCAAACAATTAAACAACTACCTTTACAGAAAAATACAAAAGTTGTAGAACCATTTTAAATTTGGGGTACAATTTCAAAGCACACAACCACGCCGTTAAACAGTCAATCAAATTCACTTACAGAGTCGACTTTCAATTACGGTTAAAATTGCCTCAAATCAAAAGAAAAAAAAATCGATGAGCTAAAGACAGTAAATTATGTGCTTTGGAATGTGAGCCGTCGAAAAATGTTTTGGCAAACTATTGTTCGACTATACAAGTTTCCTCAAATCAATTTCTTTACAACTATGAAAAACGAAACCCGACCGGTTTTTTCTGAACCCCAAAGCATTTTTCCAAACAGCTCATTTTTTTCTGGCGTTCTTTACCTTTAAAACAAGCGTGAAGGGGCCTGAAAGTAGTCGAGGCTTCATAACAAGGATAATTATACATTTACATACATACAGGACAAAAAAGAACAATGCCCGGCCGTAACTCGAATCTTAAGCCTGCCCTTTGCAAAAACCTTAATCGCGGTAAAAACTGTAGTTCCCGATTGCAAGTAATTTGCTCGTGCAAATGAAAACAAAGCAGAGACAGAACACATACAAGCAAAATACAATTTCATCAACGGTACAATTATTCGAACAAAAAATCAACACAGAGGCGAAGCTGCACTTCGCAAACACTAGCCAGAGCACGACAAAAAAACAGCTTTTTAAATCGCGAGATATATTGAGTTAGAATTATTCTGAAATCGCGTTTTTATTTTGCTGTTGTTTGAAACAAAGATTTTTTTTCGGTTTATTTGATGAATTAAAAATGCATCAACTGTATTACTTATTACTACTCGAATGTCAAAGCAAATGCAATCAAAAAGCATGAAAGGTGCCACTTTTGCGAATATTTTCGACTTAGGTTAGAAAAAAAGAATATTTATACTATTGCACTCTTAAGAACGCTAGTGTATAAACACTGACGGTGGGAGCTTTGGCACCCCCGAAAAACCCGAGTTATTTCCAGTTTTTGAGCCAGAAACAAAATTATCTTTGTTTGTAGTATTGAAAGGGCTTTCACCAGAATGAAATTTAGTACAGCATAATATTGTGTACTGGTACAGATTGTGTAATGGTACTGATATTGTGTACTGGTACTTAAAACTAGCGACTCCGCCTCTGATTGAAACTATTTAGCTGTTTCAGAAAAATTTTGGGAATATGAAAAAAAAGTTGCAGAAACACTTTCAATTTGGGGTACAAATATCAAAAAACTCTGGGGAGAAAAAAACTGACCCAAGAAAAGGACATTACGTTGATTGAAAATAATTCTTCAACTATGATAGTAACTAAGATATAATTTGGAAGAAAGTTTTTGAACATTGTTTTAAGCCTTGATCTCTTCGGTCAGATCATTTCACACTTCAAAGATCTCAATAGCTCGACATTGTGCTATTAATTAGAAATGCAACTTTGAAGAATCAAATTATTCCTTTCGAGTAAAAGACACAACTTCAACCTTCTCTTTTCCCTGTTCAACCGAGATTTTTCAGTGTTTTGGAAAGCAAATTTTAGGAAGCATGTTTCAGAAGCAAATTTAACTTTTAGTTTTCATAATTTTCCAGTTAGCTGACCGGAGAAAAAAAAGTTGAACTTTTCCAGACAGCTGACTCACTTTTCATCGAGGAGTAGTACATGAAAATTCATCTCTTCACTCTGGTGTCATTTTGAATGGTTAAAGTTTCTTCGGGAATGGTTGTCACGTTATGTTAGTACTTCTGAGAAGGTTGATAGCTTGGTTTTGGTTGTTAGTTTCGTCGTCCCATCTAAGTCTCACACTGCAACCCCAGCCAAGTTGCCCAGGGTTTCTCTGGGCCGAAGGGGGCCCCCGATTCCAGGAAATAAGACGTGATTCTTGTTGCGGAGCACGTTTCGGTGAATCACCAAGCCGCCAAACAGAGAAAGGATAGCAGAGCTATGTTGGTGGTGTCTTAAGTCGTCTATACAGTATATGAAAAACACTAGACATAGGAACTGCTTAGGTTTTATTGCCGAAGCTATGAGCTAGTGTTGTGTGACGACACTGCTCATCAGAAGCGAGCAAAGTAGTTTTTGTATCCCGATCGTTAAATTCAGTTTGGTCAGATGGAATATTTTTAACAAGGAAAAAAGGTTAACTAGTTTAGTTAACAAAACACAATAATATTGAAAATGAAAATTGTGGACAGTTTTTTTAGTGATAACGATCAATGAAATTCTTAAAAGGGAACATGATCAGACCAGTTTCTCTGAATATCTAGAGAAATTTCCAAAAAATATTTGAACGTAAATTAGTTTTAAGCAAAGCTGTGCTTTCCAAACACTTGCGAAAACAAGACAAAAAGGCAGCTCTAGAGTTTTAAAAATTGCAATGAGGAAAAGTAAAAATACCCTCGAATTAGTAAAAAAAATTCTGCGAAGTCTCGGACTATAAAAGAGTCGTCACTACATTCATCAACTCTTTTAAAATGTAATAGATCGGTAATTTCGGCGAAAATCTTTCGTCCTCTGTTGAACTTGTGCATGAAATAAACGAGTAAATTTGATCGTCTACGTTGTATCATGATAATCCAATTGAAAAATGAATTTAACTAACGATCCCCAATGTTTTTTAAATGAAATTATTGTTAGCTCATAGAAACAATACGCAAAATAAGATTTTTTAGAGCTCCCAAGAGAACTCGGAAAACAATTTGATCGACCAAAAAAGCAAATACCTCTAACTTCTGAGCAAGACCGACGAAAATGAAAAAACTATTTGACTTCTGTTGGAACGGATAATTACAGCATTAGAAAAGCAGAATATATATTACATTTCAATCATAACATTTGAATTTTATGCCTTTCAGACTATACGACTCCAAAAAACAAGCAATTTCTTTCATACAATTTTTTGACCAAATTATCAATTAGCCGATACTTGTTAAGTTTAACAGATGTTATAGTGTCACGATTAATGTGTTTTATTACATGTATGCAGTTTAGGAGCTCGATGTAGTCTGACAAGACCTCTTGAAATCATCATCATAATCACATTTCATTTTCAATCTTAGAATGGCGCAAGAAAGATCATTATCGCAATTTTTCAACATACATTTAATTATTTCAGTTTTAAATTCTCGGTACAATTTAGCTTGTGAAGCTTGTTGAGTCGATTGAATGAAATTGCCTTGATAACTTGTTCTTGAAACGATTTTTTTCTCGAATCAACTTAAAACAGCTTTTTTTTTGTCGGGAGAGCAAAGATCATTGACGCAACGTAAACAACTATACAATATCGATGGCATATTTAGCAACTGGTTGGAAAAATTGAACTGAACGAAAGATCACAACCAAACTAGGTTATATATATATTTAATGAAGCTGGTAAATATATATTTCATATATATTTCATTATATATATATTTCATTATATATATATTTAATGAAGCTGGTAAAGCAGGCTCAATTTTTGTTTTAAAGTTTAAGAAGACGATCATTCAGCCGAGCCTACCCGCACTGACAAAATTGGATTTCGATCGATTTTAGTATGAAACAAATATGCAGATTAGATTGAAATCGATTTAAGTTGTAACAAAGTAAGTTTATCAAAACAAAAAATTCAGATCGATTTGGATCGATTTTAAATCAATTTAAATCGATTTATTTTCAACGTTAAAAAAAGAATTCCAGTCAATTTTAAACCGATTTGAATGGATCTCTTATATCTGACTTAAAATGAAACCGATCGAAATCGATTTTAAATCGATTTAAATCGATTTTTTTCACTTATGAATGGCATGAAATTTTTGAATGGCAGAAAAAAATGAAAAGTTTTGTTACGTGTCGTTACATATGCTAAAATTGACTAAATTGCTTGTAAAACAAAATCAACCGTCCCCCATGCCCCCCATCAATTCTTAAAATAAAAAAGCTAACGTTACACGGGTAAAACCAAGTTTTTATGTTGTAATTTAATCTATTTTAAGCTTTTAAGCCACCAAATAAGCTATAATTTTTAAAGTTAAAGTTAAGGTAATGTTAGGGTAACTTTTATCTTAATTTGTTTTTACCTTAACTCATTTAGGGGAGTTAGGTTAATTTTACCTTAACATTTTTTTGAGTGTGCGAGAAAGGACCTTATAGTCTTGTAGACTTGTTTTTCATCTGCTTTGCTGTTAAAACTATTTGGGCTTGTAAGGAGGTTGTTGTTGTTGTTGTTGTTGTTGTTGTTGTTGTTTTTTTGTTGTCGTTGTTGTTGTTGTTGTTGTTGTTGTTGTTGTTGTTGTTGTTGTTGTTGTTGTTGTTGTTGTTGCTGTTGTTGGTGATTCACAAATGCACTGTTGAGCTGGGCCGTCAAATTGTTCTGCTGTTGTTGGTGATTATGGCGAGTAGAGGGGGAGATCGAAATTCCACTGCTCAGTTGGGGGTGTGCTGCAATACTATCCACAGTATTGATCAGGGCGGCTAAACTGCTATTGTTACTCTTATTGTTGCTGATATTATTATCGGCCAGTAGAACTGTCGGCTGTAAGACCGAATTCAGGATAAAGTATTTCAATTAGTTTTCCTAATTGCATGTTTTTTGCCTTGTTAGCAAAAAAATCGATTTTAGTGTGTCGTAAAATCCATCGAAATCAATTTAAATTGATTTTTTAGACACTTAAATCGATTTCAAATTTCCAAAATGATTGATTTAAATCGATTTAAAATCCATTTAAGTTCGTAAAATGTACATGAGTAATCGATTTGGATCGATTTAAAATCGATTCAAAATCAATTTAAATCAACCGGAAACCATTTCTGTCAGTGCGGGTTTGTATGTGAGGACTAGAGGAAAATGATTAAAACTTCTTGAGATCTGATCAAGTAGAATTTAGTAGAGTATCAACACGAACTCATGATGAGGCGCAGAAAAATATGCCGAAATTTATGTTTGAGAAAAAAGGCTCCGAAATGGCAATTTGGCGGGCGACTGTACTTGGATCTTGTAAACTATTTCACCCTATGTAACCTAAATTTTGCAAGGGGGGATTCGTTACAAGGTACAAAATTCATATAGGCTTAACTCTTCAAATCTTTCTTAATAGGGGAAAAACTCGTTGCAAGATACCATTGGGCGGGGAGGGGGGGGGGTGTTGTTAACAAGATTCCAGTACTTAACTGCGCCGTATTCGTTGAATCTATATTGACATTACATCAATGAACGCACACAGCAGGAAAAGTATGAGCGCAGTAGTAATCATAGGAGCTGCTGTATTTTGAGTTACAATCACAGCAGCAAACTGCAATGGTTATTGAATCGACCTTAGCACGCCCACTTAGCACGCTTCAAACAGAACAGAGATCGATGCCACAGAGCAACCAGCACACAACTAATCTAGACTCTACCCTTCTTTGCCCAAACTCGATTCGCATCTTTCAATCATCCCTTTGCAATGTTAATGAAGACGAAATATACTTCGAAAAAGTTGAAGAGCTTCAAAATTTTTGTTACATAAGGACACAGGAGCTCAATCTTTAATAGATTGAAATCTATGATGCGATGCCAGGAAATAGAGCTCAAATTGGTACCCATTGCATAAATTCAGCTATTTTCTCGGTCAGAATACTACCGCACAGAATATACCGAATACTAAGAGTGTGATATAAGACCTTATGATTTCAAGCCACTTGTTAAAAGCCTCGACTAGTTTTAATGTGTGCTGAGTTGCGTATAAACTATCTACGGATAAGATGTCCTCTAATGTACATGTATGTAGTGAGTCTGACTGACAACTGAGAATGAATAAATTGGTTATTGTTCCGACTTTCGATACGAAAGTAACGGAATATTTGCGCTCGGGGTGGGTTTTTTTTTCTTCAGACAAATTTCGACTTTTTAACTAGCCATTTTTGACGGAATTTTTTTATATCATTCAAAAAGTATTGTTGTCCTGAGCTTAAATTTGAAGAGATATTTCACCTGTGATTATTTTTCGTAAAGTTATGAGGGTTTAAAGGTTGCCATTTTGGCCATTTTGACCAATTTGGGACAATTAACGCGCGATATAATTCGCGCTATTAACGCGTAAGCGGAGATTTAATCCGTCTTATAAATCGTTCCAAATTGGTTGAACGAAGCTTATTTGCCATAATTGATTTGTTACAAGGAACGAAATCTCTCTTTCTGTACTTTATATGGCGTGTGGGGGGATGATTTTCATAAAAAATTTCAAATTTTAGAAAAAAAAAATTTTTCATTTCGTTTTAATTCATTTAAATTTTTAATGTTATTACTGCTCCATAAACCTTAAAAGGCAGTCGGAACATTCAGGGCTTCGCCCTGATACGAGCAGTCTTGTTACAGTTTACTTCGGTCTATTAAATATGAAATGCGTCCTCACTCCGACTTCTCGCTCTGTGCCGGAGTGGATGCCTCTGAGCTTCCATTTGGCAGTCCTCCCGCACCTGCTACAGCTCCTCCGGATGCCGCACCACCGGTTGTGGTGGCGCCGGCTGCCACAGCGCCTGCGCCCATAGTGGCGGCTGCAAAGCGCTGGTACCTGAAACGGGACAATTTACTCCACAATTGACAACATACCGGCTTATACCACCGATTACATTCGACTACAGATTCAACATTAATATTGCTCAAAAGCACTACTCGCATGGCAGAAGAACTCAATTTCCAA